TTACAGTTACAATTACAATTGACTAACAATTGTTAGTCAATAATTATTAATTAAATATCTTTTCTGTGTCAGGTTCTGTCCCAGCCCCGAGCTATTCAGCTGGTGTGTCCCAACAAAATTTGTTAGGTGTTGAAAAATTGAAACACTTTCCTGCCAGTTTCTGCCTGACCATTGCCTTGGGTCTTCCCTCCCTCCATCCAGCTGTACTGACTTAGTTCCAGGGAGGTCATATTTGGCACTGCCTGGAGGCCACCTTGGGTCCACCAAGTTGTCAGCTCAGGTTCCTAGGAACCAGCCTTTATACCTATCCTACTCGCCTGTCAGGGAGGCATGGGTATCAGCAAGGAAGATGGCACACTTGGTGGCACTGTGACACCTTAATGGAGAAATGCACAACGCCTCTTGGGGCTCCCTGAGGCTGTGGCCACTAGCCACAGGTTGGCATTCTCCCATCTTACCTATGGAACCTCTAAAGCAGACAGTACTATTGTTTAAGACTTTAAGTATCACCCTTGAATAGGTATAACATGGAAGGAAAAGCAAAATACCATGGTTGCCTAGGAGAGGAAGCATCCATGTAGGCTTAGATCAGTCAGAGGAGGCTTCCTGGCCAAAGTGACCTCATAGAATTTTCCTGGGTTTGCTGAGAAAAGGAAGTTCCCAGAAAATGAAAGAGTAAAATTATGGTGTCAGCAGTTCCAGAGTTGGCAGCGGGAAACCAGGTGGTGTTTTTTTGTTTGTTTGCTTGCTTTTTGAGATGGAGTTTCACTCTTGTTGCCCAAGCTGGAGTACAATGGCACAATCTCAGATCACTGCAACCTCTGCCTCCTGGGTTCAGGCGATTCTCCTGCCTCAGCCTCCCGAGTAGCTAGGATTACAGGAATGCACCACCACACCTGGCTAATTTTGTATTTTCAGTAGAGACGGGGTTTCTCCATGTTGGTCAGGCTGGTCTCGAACTCTCAACCCTCAGGTGATCCACTCACCTTGGCCTCCCGAAGTGCTGGGATTACAGGCCTGAGCCACCGTGCCTGGCCGAAAACTAGATCTTAAGACTTCTAGCCACAATCACTTGGGATAGTATTGAAACATTCCAACTTCAGTTCAGCACAGATACCTGCCTGAGGCCCTCACTGAGGTGCTGCAATGACTCAGTTCTCAGATAAATATAAAGGCCCTCATGATGGTGTCCTTTAAGCCCCAGGCTGGTTTCCAAAAGTTGCTATTCTTGCCCATGCAGGTGGATGGTCTCTCTTTCCTTAGTCTGCAAATACTACCTCTTCTTTCGCCAATTTCTTTGCCCTCAGAAACTCCCCAAGTCTCACTCTCTAGCTACCCAATTCATCAATTCCTGGTGTTATGACACACTTGGAATCCCAGAAATTTGTGACTAGAGAGGACCTTACAAGTAAACTGCCCAACCCCTCATTCAGGGAAAGAAAGAGCTTAGTCCCACATGGTTGTGACTCACTCAAGGCCTCTTAGTGACCATGAGGAGGTTGCAGCCCAGGCGTTCAACTCCTAATCCAGGGCTGGACCTGTCCTACCTCTGCTCTCTCCTCTCAGGTTGCTCCTCCAAATGGGACTGAATTCATCCTCTGTACGTGCTCAACTTTTGAATCTCCTCTCCTCCAGATGTGTCTACCCATCCCTTGGCTTCAATAACTATCCCAAACTTTGTCACGAAGTTTGAGGGTTCTAATTTTAGGTGGCGCAGATCCATGGCTTTAAATCGGTCACATAATAGGAAGCTTATTTTTTTCTCTGAATTCCTCAAACAGAAAATCTTGAGTCAGTGCTGATGTGTGTCTCATGCTTGCCAAGCTCCCTTTTCAGTAAGAAGTGAGGAGGGCGGGGGCTCCTGGCCTGCAGCAGACACAGTGCCTAGTAGGAGTGAAATGACATCTGATTATTGTATTGTTTGCATTTCTCTTATTTCATGAGTACCTTCTAATATTGACAGTTGATCTGGTTTTCCAAGTAAGCCAGAGAGAAATGGTTTCCACTTTAAATAGTGTTAAAAGGAGGAATCAACCTCAATTGAAATCTTAGCTAAGTAAACTTTAGGTGTATGAGGATATCTGCCCTCACCCGCCACATACACTGGGTCCTCAAAGCAGTGATCCAGAAGGGAGTGAGGTTAATATAACAATTCGTGATACCAATGAAGGAGGAGGAGAATTTGTACGATGCAAACTTCTCTTTGGCTCGGAGGGCATGTCTGTTTACTCAACCCATGTATAAAAATACCTCCTAGCATATATTTTAGTCAGCAAGTGTTCTAGCGTGGTGGAAATGATTTACTGAAACTTAGACCTTCTCCTGAAATCCAGCCAAAAGTCTGATTTGGAAAACCAAGAAGTCCTATTTAGTTTCTGCCGTCATTGTTACTGAACCACACTGACTGGGTAATTAGTGACATATAAAGTTCTTTAATTCTCCAGTCTTCCTTCATTTGAGCATCATGAGATTGTTTTTCTCTCCTTCCCGGTCACTCACTAAGTGTTTGCTGAACTGAGTATTTGGTTTTTAATAAATGGAGGGGGTCACCTTTGTCCGTACCTCATTTTCTTCCCACGTGTGTAAAGGACCGTGTCGTCCATTGTGTCAGTGTTTCTCGGCAGAAGAGCGATGGAGGTTTCTGTAAACTGAGTTTCTACAGCTGGCAACAGAAGGTGGCCCGCAGTTATATTTTTTGTAGGGAAAGATATGGTTTTAGGTGACCACTCTGCACAGATTCTGGGAGGATTTCACAATATTGGTAACCTGTTATTTTAGATTCTAAGCGTATTTTGTAGCTCCAGAAGCACAAAAATAAGCTGTGTTTTCTTGGAAAATGTGTGTGTCTGGGATATGTGACAGGAGTTGCAACCTTAAACAAGATTTCCAGGTGCTTACAGTTGAACCATGCCAGTAAAAATATGCTTATTTAGACATTAAAATCCTAGGGTGCCCATGTAAGTATCCTAAACAATGTGTGTTACACGAGCATTCTTTGCTAATGTGCTTTAGCTTTGCGTGTTCTTAGCTCTGGCTTCCACAGTGTTAATGTACTGCAGGGAAAGTTGAATTCAGATGGTGGGTCTTAGTTTCTGTTCAACGCATTTGATGGTGTGTTTCTTACATTCAAGAGAGTAGTTTCTGGTGTTGGTGTAAGCCACATCACAACTGGCAAGGTAGACTTCCTCACTCCTAATACTCATAGCGACGTGGAAGTTTTTCTTAGGCATTTAGAAGAGAGAAAAGGCAGCAGGTATACCCTTCCTCTGTGTGTTCAGCAAGCATCACTTGATCATCCATTGTCTGCAAAGCTGTATGTAGAACAGGGAAGACAAAGAGGAAGTTGGGGATCCTTGCTTCTGGAGCCTGAAGTCTGCTTTATTTCATCAGTGTTTCACAGAAAATCAGGGTAAATTGCTTCTTTTGTCAAAATGTGATTTTCAAAAAGTTAAAAAGCAAAAAACTCATTCAAGTATTTAGTAAGCACATGCCAAAAATTTATTTAACTCATTGACGAAGGGAACAGTGGGATGACAAAGCTGGTTTAAAGGAAGATATGAGAAAGATATTCAGGTAGATAGAAAACAAGAGAGAAAGGAGTGGAGGAAAAGAGAATACTAGAATAAGATTGCAAAGTTAGATAGAAAATGGTTCATTTCCTGCAGGGCAATTAAACAATAATATTTGGGATTATTGTTCATCTGGTCAGAAATGTTTTGCACCTATACTAGACAAAAATTAAGTGTAATTTACCAGTTTTCTACAGTCTGTATAGAATCTGGGTCCAATCAATAGTAAATAGTAAGTCAAACAAAGTTATATTTCCTGTGAGTGTTAGATGACACTTAGGTAGACTTGTCAGTCAATGCTGTAGTACATCTACTCAATAGAGCTTTCTGCAATGATGAAAATATGCTATATATGTGGTGTTTAATATGGTAGCTATGGGCCAGATGTGGCTATTGAGCTTTTGAAATGTAGCTAATGTAACTAAAGAACTGAATTCTTAATTTTATTTACTTTCCATTAATTTTGATTTAAGTAACTTCATGTGACTAATGGGTACCATGTTGGACAACATAGCTCTAATATGCCATTAAATGGGCAGACACTCATTTTTATTTCTTGTTTCCAATTTTGGATAGTTTTTTTAAATTGTATTTTAGATGTTGTGAGAGGAGCTATGTAAAAGAACTCAGAGTAGACTCCTTTGAGAAAACCAACTCTCTCATTAAGCAAATAATTTCTTTTCTTTTTTCTCTTTCTTTTCTTTTCTTTTCTTTTCTTTTCTACTCTTTTCTTTTCTTTCTTGTTGAGACAGAGTCTCACTCTGTCACCCAGGCTGGAGTGCGGTGGCACAATCTCGGCTCACTGCAACCTCTGCCTCCCAGGTTCATGCAATTCCCCTGCCTCAGCCTGCCAAGGCTGGGATTACAGACGTGCGCCACTGTGCCTGGCTAATTTTTGTATTTTTTTAGTAGCGACAGGGTTTCACCATGTTGGTCAGGCTGGTCTCAAACTCCTTACCTCAAATGATCTTCCTGCCTCAACCTCCCAAAGTGCTGGGATTACAGGAGTGAGCCACCGCACTCAGCCAATAATTTCTTTTATTGGGTAAAAATCCTCATATATTGGGTTTCTTGGTAGTGGGCTCATCTGAAATTGTTCTGGTCAGCAAGGGAGCCAGTTAGGAAAGCTAAGCCTGTTTGGAGGGAACCCAACTCTGGTATTTTCCAAGTAAATCAACTTGGAATTAATTTTCCTTCAGCAATATAATAATGGTCATGTCTAGTTTTGATTAAAAGGGGCTTTTGGGTTTGCAACAAAGGGAGAAGCTATTGATATCTCACGAGGATTTTAAGGTTTATGTAAGTTAACTTTTCTGCTGCCATCACTTCATTATGCAAAAAGAGCAATTAATGCATTGATAAGGTTGGCTTTGATTTCTGATTAAGCTCATTTGCTTTACTGAGTTTTCTCATCTTCTTGCTTGCTTGCAGGGCTTTTTCCGCAGAAGTATTCAGAAGAATATGATTTACACTTGTCACCGAGATAAGAACTGTGTTATTAATAAAGTTACCAGGAATCGATGCCAATACTGTCGACTCCAGAAGTGCTTTGAAGTGGGAATGTCCAAAGAATGTAAGTGGAGTCTCAAAAACCTTTTTCCCTTTTTCCTTATTTTTGTGATTTGCTCACCTTCCACAGTCATGTGGAATTCACACATGACACTAATGATATCTTGCCAAAGGTAGGTGTGAATCGAGATGACATGAAAATGGGGATTGATACGGAGATTTTGAGATGAAACTTGAGTGACAGTTAGTGGAAAGGCAGGAGTTAGGTGTTGTGAATGGCAGATTTGTATTCCAAAGCATTGGCTGACTCGCTGTGGATCCCAGAGCCATTAGCAGTAACTCAAGCATATTGCACAGTCACATGGTGACTCCATTTCCCCATCTTGACAATGGATATAATGATCTTCGCCTGTATCAGTAAGGATAAGATAAAATGATAGGCATGAATGTTAACAGTAGTCATAATTTGCCCTTTTTTAGGAGGGAAGGATTTGAAATATACAGGCTTTAGTGTAAACAGAGTATATATACACTGCAACAAATTTTGCTCTTTCTCTCTTTGACATGTAGAAATGTAGGGAAAAGAAAGTATTAGGTGGATGGCTTGGCTCAAGCAGGCCTGGGAATGTCATGGGGATATGTGCCCAGTGACGCTCTTGTGGGACTCCTGCTCTTCCTGTCACTCTATCACAGGGGGATTTTGGTGATGGCATGCTGTGCACATGTGAGCAGTGGGCTGGGTGCTGCCTGGGGACCCTGGAGATACCCAAGATATGGCTATTGCCCTCCAAGAGCATGGGACAAAGAGCCAGGCACCCCAACCATGATCCTCTAATGGAGTTGGAGGAATTATGCCATGAATCAGGAGCTCTTAGATTTTGGAACTGGGAAACGTGACCCTTGGGTGAAATGACTGAAGAGGGAAAGCCCCTAGAGCCAGCCAGAGGCACTGCTCTGAGGGTGCCCAGCTGGGAACCTTGCCTCTGCTTAGGGCGGGTGCTCAGGGATTGTAGCAGATGTTTCTCGGTAGCCCACCCAGATTCCTTTCCTAACTGTACTCCTGCCCCTTCACCTTTCCTAACTGTACTCCTGCCCCTTCACCTTTCCTAACTGTACTCAGATTTTAGTTTTCTTTTATACCCGTTAGGTTTCTATGCTTCAGAGAAAACTTCAGGGCTGGGATCCACTCAGTCAATTAAAGCCAATCAGCGTATTTTATGTTCCAACCACATGTGTGAACATGTAACCTAGGCTGGTTCAATGAGAGGGAATTCAAGACTCGTGCGTAGAATATCAGGACAGAAGTACCCTTCCCTCTATGCATGTGAACAAAGAAACAGGTAGCCACGAGTACCCTGGTGGCCATCCTTCAATCCCCAGGGAAGTCAGCTGTAGGACAAAGCATGCACTGTAGATGGAAAAGTGGAAAGACAGAAATCAAGCCCTTAATAGCACCATTGAATTACTGAACCAGCCAGCCCTATGAAACCACTGCCTCCAGGTCGTTTTATTTGCCAAGAAGAACCCATTAAGGCTTTTGGAATGGACGTCTTGTTAATATTTAGAGTCCTCATGAATGAGAATGGACTGGGCCATCAGACAGGAAAGCATCCTGCATGTGCCATTCCTTCTGGGAAGCTCTTTTTCCCCTAGGCAGTTCCATCTGCAGGTGATCGGTCACTTGGCCACATTTCATCCAGTTCCTTTCCCTCCCTCTAAATTTTAGAGCCATTGAGTTACTCAAAATCCATACATTTGAAGATAGGAAGCTAACATTCAGTTGGCTCAGGCTCTAAATCCTACCACTGAAGAGAAAAGTATGATAACCTGAAATAGCCAGATTATTCCTGTATGTGAGTTTCACAGGATGATCACCTACTGCTCCAGTTTTGGTCTAATGTTCTGTAGACATGGATGTCACACAGCATTTCTGTGGGAGAATTTCAGTTCAGGCTGAAATTATAAATGAGTAAGCCAGATGTGGTCTCAGGGAAAATCAGTACTTTTGCATTATTTTGTGTGGGCTGGAGACCCATTTCCTGCTTACATTGCTTAAAACCCATATCCTGCTGCTCTGTAAAAACTGGCAGCTTGGTTGGCAATTAAAAAAAATAATGTTTACACCCACAGGAAAACTCTAGCATCAGCCCTCAAGGAGCTTATCACCTTAATTAGATTTAAAAATATAGAAATGGGAAGAAAATGGGATCATTATGTCCAAGTACACAAAAATAAATATATTTTTGTTAAAAGGAAATTGAAGGGAAAGAAATAAACACTTGGAATATAGAGATTGAGAGTCTAATAGGATATTTTTAAAGTTGAAACAGAAGGAAGCAGGCAAATATGAGAATCAGTAACCAATTATACCACAGTATACGCAACTGAAATGAACCCAAGAATAATAGATACTCGTAGAATGTTAGAAGTGAAAAGGGATCTTAGAGATTGATTTTCACTCACCTCTCTCATTTGACATACAAGTACACTAGGACTCAGAAAGATGAAACGGTTTTCCCAGCTGTCCCAACTGGCTGAAGACATAACCAAGAATACAGTGAAGTCGGCCACCTCTCCTCCCCATGCCTTTTCTGCACTGGCAAGATTAGCAAGATGCACATTCTGTTCCAGCCATAGGACATGTCAGTTCATCTGTATGTGTCAGAATCCTTTTGATGAGAGTGACAGAAAACCCAGCCCAAGCTGGCTTAAGCTACAACACTCTGCACATGTCACTGAAAAGTCCAGAGTAATATGCTGGATCCAAGGGCACATGTTTGTTTTCGGGGCATTGTTTCTCTTTGTCTCTCACAGCTGATTTTTGCTGTGCTGGCTTCATTCTCAGGAAGATTTTCCCCATGTCTGACAAAGAAGGGCACCAACAGCTCCAGGCTGATAATCTATTGACCCATTCAAAAGAGAGACTCTTAGATCCGGATTGTTCCATCAAAGCCAAGGGACAGATTCTCAGTGGCCTAACTTGGGTCATGTGCCCCTCTATGAATGCATTGCTTTGGGCGGGGGATAGAATATTGTGATTAGCCAGGTCTGGATTATGTGTCATTATCTACAGCCCAGGATTGAGGTTGACTTCACCCAAACCATGTGGGTGGGGAGTGTGGAAGAAAATGTTCCTCAGAGGGGAATCAGAAAGACAGGAGGCAAAAAAATGTCCACCATGATTTGTCAGGTCCCACAGTGCTGTTCCCAAGGCACTCTTCTTTATGCTGTGGGAGAAAAAAAGAAGGGTAAAAACTGGGAAAATTTAAGAATCATTATAGTAATAGCTAACTAGACAGGGTATTTTCTATGTGCCAAGTACTACATTAACCACTTTTTTTTTTTTTTTTTTTGGTCACCCAGGCTGGAGTGCAGTGGCATGATCTCAGCTCCCTGCAACCTCTACCTCCTGGGTTCAAGCGATTCTCCTGCCTCAGCCTCCCAAGTAGCTGGGATTATAGGCGCCTGCCACCACGCCCAGCTAATTTTTGTATTTTTAGTAGAGATGGAGTTTCATCACGTTGGCCAGGCTGGTCTTGAACTCCTGACCTCACGTGATCCATCCACCTCGACGTCCCAACGTGCTGAGATTACAGGCATGAGCCACCGCGCCCGGCCTACATTAACCACTTTTAATGCTTTATCCCATTGATCCTCATAATAACCCTATGAGATAGATTAGTTATAATTCCTCCTTCCCAAGTCCCATCTTTTTTTTTTTGGCAGATGTGGAAACTGAGACACAGAGACATTAATTTACTCGAGGTAACACAGTTAGTAAGGGGCAGTGCTGAGATTTGGAACCAGGCAGTTTGATGAGAAAGTCTATATTCAAATTGAAATATATATACTGCGTGCCATAGGCAGCAGCATTTAAAACTCCGAGTTCCTTTTTCCACTGTATTTTATTGCCTGTGGTTAATAAAACAATAACCATACTCCTTGCTCTATATTAGAGATGTATCCCCAAGAAAATCATGTGCAAATTTAATTTTTATAGATCAAATTTGATTTTACGTATGTAAGGGGATTTACAAGTAAAAGAAATCTTTTAACGTGCCCTACCAGAACAGTATGCTTATTTCTTCATTTTTTTTTTCTTTTTTGTAAATACTGATGCGTATACCTTGTATTTTCCAAGGGCTTATAGAACTAGGGAAGCCTTTTTGCAGAGAAGTAGCTGTCTGTCAAAGCATAGAATTTGAACATGGTAATGGCAAGTGAAAAAAAAATCGATTTTTAGCAGCATTCTAAAGGTGGTACAAAAATTTACTAAGAATTGGAGACGGAGGCAAAGGAAGCAAATGGACTCAAAGTTGAATGATGAACTTCTGCTGGTGGCGTGGGAGGTTTGTAATGATGTCAGAAGAGGAAAGCATGTGGCAAAGCCGTGAAATAAAAACAATTAATGAAAAAGAGAAACAATAAATGAAGGCATAACATTTGGATGATAAAAGAAATGTCCAGACAAGCTTATAATATAGATAATAGCTGATGGTCCATGATGAGAAAGAAGATTTAAGATGATACTGTTTAGAAACCATGAGAGTAAAGCCCTAGCAAGCCTGATCATATGCATTTAAGTCAGTTACAGAAATTCAAATGAATAGTTCAGATCGTTAAGCCAAAGGTCAGCAAACCATTTTTTAAAAGAACCGGCTCATCGGGCATGGTGGCGCGTGCCTATAATCCCAGCTACTCAGGAGGCCAAGGCAGGAGAATCGCTTGAACTTGGGAGGCGGAGGTTGCAATGAGCCGAGATCATGCCATTGCACTCCAGCCTGGGCGACAGGATGAGACTCCGTCTCAAAAAAAAAAAAAAAAAAAAAGAACCAGCTCTTTTTAAAAAAAATGTTTGAAATTTTAGAAAATATTTTTGAGGCCCTGTGCAGTAGTTCACACTTGCAATCTCAGCAATATGGGAGAAGGAGATGGGAGGATCTCTTGAGCCCAGTAGTTTAATGAGACCAGCCTGGGCAACATGGCAAGACCCCAACTCTACAAAAATTTTTTAAAAATTAGCTGAGAGTGATGGTGTGGACCTGTGGTCCCAGCTACTTAGCT